TTGAACTGCTGACCTTGCAGTCCAGCACATTATTCTGCAGCACCACACCAGGACTCATGTAACCCTTAATAATATTTCAGTATTTCCTAAAAACAAGGGATTTCCTTGCATAATCACATTGATACTCATTTTTATGTGTGTCCTAGATTTTAATGCATATATTATTTATATCTAAATTAAGTAATTCATTATATAAAGCTTAATATTACATTGTTCTGGATCTTTCCAATGTGAAATCTCTTTACATTGTTATTTGAATAGGTAAAATAAAAAGAGAGGAATCTTTAAATACTGTATTTTTTTCCTGTGCTCATTTAGATTATTTGTGAAAGATATACATACCTTAGTCTTAACGTAAATTTTATATCATTTATCTATAACCTATTTATGTAGTGATAAGAAAGAATATATTCTTTGTTTTATAATAAGATTCAGTTTTAAATCTTATTACAAGTCTTAAAGAATCAAATTAAAGTTTATTACTCTTAGCAATGAATAAAAACTCATTGAACTCAGAGATCTGTACCACTCCTCGGGCAGCACAGATATTACTCTAGTTGCTGATTTTTATAATAACAGTAAAACTATGACCAGTCCATGTAAAACATGGTTCTGCTTCCAGTAATAAACACACACACACACACACACACATACACACAGTGATTAATTTTTGAACTCATATTTTTTTTCACTAGAAGAATGCATGTCAACAAAGTCAGTTAAATTTCTGGAAATGTTTTACTATTCTCAGTACAGCTTTTGCTTTGAAATTTCGATCTGAGTAAACCTTGCCAAGAATTCCTTTTAAGACTGTGTGTAATTAGATCACTCTGGGCTTCTTAAAATATATAGATCTGAACCTTCTGTAAGTTAGTGTATAGAAATAGCGGCACTCTTGTTCTAATTCATTATTTCAAATCATGAAGAGTTTTTTGCCTCATAATGACCAACTGTATGCATTTGCTTTCCTTTTTCTTTTTCTTACCCCTCCAGAAAAGTTAGGCTAAGTTATAAAAGATAGAGAAATAGGAAAAAATGACTTGATGAATGCACAAAACGTTAACAGTACCCTTTTTTTTTCATCTTTTGCTGTTAGGAGATAATAAAGCAGTTATTATGAAAATACATTTTTAATAATGTTCAGTGCTTCCATTGTCTAAGCATAGACACTGAAGATTTAGTAATGAGCAGAAACATTTATGGCCCCTGCTATCACAGAACTTACGGTTTAATTAAGGTAGAAACCTATTAACTTGAGAATCATACAGATAAATTAAAAATCACAAGCAAGTTCAAAGCTACTAACTAAAGGAGCATGGTTCTAGGACAGCAAACATTGTAAGAGTGTTTCATGTATTCAGGGAGGTTGGAAAGGGTAATTTGAGGAAGTGATAAATAAGCTGAGATGTAAAGTATGAATAGGAATTAGCAAGGAGAATTGGGAGAGAAGTATTCTAGGTTGAGGTAAGAACACATGCAAAGGCTCTGTGGCAAGAAGGAATATGGTGCAAAGAAGGGACTGAATAAAGGCTGATGTTTCTGAAGCAAGGAGAACAAGAAGAGCAAATTTAAGATGAAGCTGTAGAAGAAATACATACTTACCAGACAATGTATGGTCTAATTGTTGTTGTTAAGTGCCATTGAATCTGTTCTGACTGACTCACAGTGACCCTATATAGGGTTTCCGAGGAGTAGCTGGTAGGTTGGAACTGCCGACCCTGTAGTTCACAGTCCAGTGTTGATCCTACAGTGCCACACCAGAAGTCCTAGTAGTGGTTATGTGCCGTGGAGTCAGTTCTGACTCATAGCGACCCTGTAACAGGGTTTCTTTCTGAGGTTGTAAATCTTTACCAAAGCAGAAAGGTTCATCTTTTTCCTGTGGACAACTGGTAGTTTTGAACTGCTAACCTTGAAGTTAGCAGCCTGATTCATAACCACTACGCTACCAGAGCTCCTTAGAAGTCCTAGTGGTAGTGGTGGTGGTTATGTGCCGTGAAGTCGGTTCTGATTGATAGTGACCCTGTACAGGGTTTCTGAGACTGTAAATCTTTACAGGAGCAGAATGCCTCATCTTTCTCCTTTGGAACAGCTGGTAGTTTCGAACTGCGACCTTAAGGTTCGCAGCCTGATTCATAACCACTACACTACCAGAGCTCCTTAGAAGTCCTAGTAGGACATGTTAAATGATTTTGATTTTATACTAAAAACCATAGAAAACCATTGAAATTTTTTGTTTTAAAGTTGGGGAATGACATGAGCTAATCTGCCTTTTGAAAATATTCTGATTACAGTGTGGAAAATGGACTAGGGGATTAGGGCTATGGCAAGAGTAAATGGGAGGGGAATAACAGAGGTATTTTAGTGATTAACTTGAGAACTGATGGTACCTTACAGTGATTGAGATAGAAAAGAGAGAGGGAGAAAGATCTGAGAAATCCATCAGACAGTTAGATTCCATTTACCCTACTCAAGAGGAAGGCTAAGCTGGAGGTAAGCATTTGTGAATAGTCTGTAGGATAGGGGACAAATGAAACAATGGTTATGGATGAGATACTTAGAAGAAAAAGTATGAAATGAGAAGATGAGAGGACCTAAGAACAAGCCTTGAGAAATCTCAATATAGCTGGGATAACTGTTTACTAATATAATTAGGAGTTCCTGGTGTGGCACTGTGGATTAATGTGCTGGTCTACCAGGTCGGTTTGAACTGCAAGGTTCTATACAGGTTTGCTATGAGTTGGAACTGACTTGACGGCACTTAACAACAACATTGTAATTTAGTAATTAAAAAAAAAAGAAACCCCTAAAATATGGCACATTGATTATGTAGTGATTATATTACGTACAGTAATTTTAAATTATTTTGGTCTTTTCAGTTCAACCCAGAAATATGTCAAGAGTATTAACTATATTTTGGTAGGTTGTGTTTCATACAAGATAGGAAACTACCTAATGGTGAGCCTCACTATTCTTTCATGTGTCTGCTCTTTTTGGTCAGAAGTCTTCTTCAGTTCATGTTAAGAGTTAGGTTATAATATTACAATTTAAAGAAACAAAATACTTATTTCTGTAAGCATCTTTCTTGGCTTAGTATTTTAATGTTAAGAGAAATGGGTCTAAAGCTTAAGTATAAATGTAGTTTGAATATGTCTTATAAATAAGGATCTGCATACCATTTTATATCAGGATACAGGATTAGATAGGACATTGAGTTCTTAAAAGAAAGTAGGATTTGTGTGATATATTTCTTTACGATAGCCTCTAGTCCTGCATAAAAGTTGATTATGATTAACATTCAGAAAACTTTGATCCCTATCTTTTTTCCAAATAAAAGTGAACAATGTTTGAGTTAATAAAATGCCACCTGGTAGATTATTTTATTTAACAATTTTAGACAACTTTTGTGTATTCATTTTTAATAGAATCTCATCCAAGTGGAAGTTTTCTACAAAGTGCTTTTTTATCAGCTTTGAATATTTTTAAATGTTTTTCTACATAAAATATGGGTACTTTAT